ATGACTAACATACGTAAACTGCATTAGTCATTAAGGCTAAATTTGCCACGTGGCAACCTATGAGTAGTTGTCATTTATATTATTTAACTTTTAAAATAATTATTTAATTAATTATTAAAAAATAAAAAAAAACCCACCCACCACAGCCCAGCCCCAGCCACCACCCTGTCCCCGCCACCCCTGCCAGTGAAATCCTCCTTACCCCACGCCGACGCCACCCCAAACCCGCAATAACCAGCTGGCGCCCCTTTGCTTCGTCTCAACCACCCACTCCTCAATCCTAAAACCCCCCTCCTTTCTCCCTCGAGAACCCCTTCCCTCCCCACCGCCGGCGTCCAAACTCCCATCCCCGCGCCATCTCCATCTCCTGAACCACTACGCCGAAACCCCAAAATAAAACACCCCAAAATCAAAATCTAGATGGAGCTTCGATTTGTGCTGTTCTCGGGCATAAATTGCCGCTGCTACTTGGCATTAATGGTTAGGTGCGAGGTGCGAGGCGGGCTGTTGTAGTTTCGGTGATGGTGGCTGCACAATTGTTGTTGGCTTGTTGCTGTTGTTGTTTGCGGGCTGTTGTGCGGTTTGTTGTGGGGAGCAAGGGAGTAGCGCTAGTGTAAAAGAGGGCGGCTGGCTGGTGGTGTTTGATGGGTTGGCTACCGCTGCAGTTGGTGTTGCCATGGCTGGGCAGTGGGCTGCAAAGGTGGTTTGGTTGAGGTGTTGTTGCGGTGGTAGGGGTAGCATGAGGTAAAGAAGCAGGGGCTGCGCGGCTGAGTGTGCAATTGGTGGTTGGTGCTGCTGGAGGTCAGAGTGTGCCTGTGAAGTCGGTATGTACGGTGGTAAGGGTGTGACTGATGACATTGGTGCTAATTATATACTATGTATTTTTTTTAATCAAATTTCATTAATATGCATTCCTTAAATAATTTTTTTTGACTATTTCAATTATTAATTGTAAATAATGTGGTTCATATATGTCGTTAAATGTAAATTATTTTAATATCTAATTCTAATCTTTATATACAATGTAATATAACAGAACATAAATTACAAGAAAGATTAATTCTAACCGTGCATCGTACGAGGATAACCTAATTAATTAATTAATTTAAAAAACAACCAATAACATGTATATGATGAATTTGAATTTTTTTTTTTTTGGGAATAATATGGTGAATAAAAAAATAACTCAGGGGTGTATGATGAAAAATCCATTATAAATTTGATTTTCACCTTTTCTTCATCTAATTCTCCATTAATTTCCAATACAACAATTTTTCAATTAAAGGATGAGTTCAATTTTATCTTTTGATACTTCGTTGCATATTGAAAATTATTTTTTCATTAAAGTATCAAACCTCAATCTTAAAATTACCAAAAATCCTTTTTTTTTTTCTTTTTTTTTCCCCTTCCCAAATTCACATGCTCCTTCATCTTATACTCTATGACCCCCCATCGATTCTCAGTTGGATAAATAAAATATTAAACATACCACATTGCATAACAAAACTTATAGGATAATTAGTAAGGGGGTAATAATAAAATGATTGGAGAATATTAAGGGGGGTGTTGGTATCCTATTTTGTGGGCAAAGGAAGGACCCTTAGATGTTAGTATTAAGTAGCTTCCCATCTATTTTTACCACATCCCCCCTTTTTTTTCCTTCATTAAAAAATGAGTTAAGGTAATAATTAGGGACTAAGCTCTCTATTGGTTACTTATAAAAGAAAGAAATAACGAACTCAATTCTAATTCAAGGTCTCCCAAACAGAGAGGAATTAATCCTAATACACTAAAAAAAAAGTGTAAAGTCCTAGGCTTTTAAAAGGTCATGGGCATAGAGGAAGTGGGATCCCCAACGACAGGCTACCCTCCTCACAAGTCTTAGCTAGTCCTAGTCATGCATTCCACTCATGTATGCACAACAACACTGCTGGGCCTTGCCAAATGTCGACTCGCATTGTGATTGTGCAACTACTATCGTGGGATGTTGGTGCACACTATGGCACAAGGTCTGTGGCATTGCTATGGTGTGATGTTGCCTCGATTGGGCCTATGAGGCCTTACCTTAGCATGTAGCCTATGATGCGAGGCTATGAGCCATCACTCGTGGTTGTGTGTGTGTGTCATCAAGCCATATGATCTTTCGACTTGTATTTTGACATTGGGGTTGTACTTGGCACATCTAAGCCCAACGTCCAATGCTTTGCTTATGACATTATTGAACAGAGTATTTGGCTTTTCGTCTGATCCATTTAATTGATCAATTTGTGCTTTAAATGTGACGCAATAGGTTGAGTTAAGAATATATAAGTTGTGATGAGACTAACTAAATAATATTCTCACGAATCAAAAGTGGTCGCTAACTAGGCATATGGATAATTGATCTCATTGAACAATTAGCTCCGTAAGTATCTTAACCAACTATTATGCACTTGGCCGAAGGACACATTTTCTTCGGTCTCTATGTTTATTTCCATTAAATTTATTCATAGTTTTCAAAGCGCATATACATTAAAAAAATATTTTAAATACATTTTATTTAAGGTCATATTGTGAAACTGCACTACGAGGCAGATTAAACGATATCACACATAATATATATTTTTTATGTACTTTCTGTTGTAATATAAGAAGTATTTTCAAGGCTACCAAGAAGAAATAAACAATAAGATCAAAAAGCTGATCTTATAATCAATAGAATAAATATGGTGAGTCGTGATGCAAATCACTGATTTGAAAACGAAATTTCGGTGCAACCGTGGTGTTCAATTGTATTCGCCGGCACATTACCTAAGGTTATTAACACACCAATATCATACAAAGGCACTTTTGGATGAGAGTTTGGAGTCATATAAACTTATGCCCAAAAAGAGGAATGTGTTTGGCTTAATGTGTTTGAATGTAATTTTGTTTATGTAGCATGTATGTATATCTGATTATTCTCACCAAGAGATTATATGATAATCAACAAGGTAAATGAAGAGATAAGGAAGCTCAAAAGATGAAACATTAATCAGAAATTAAGGTCCTTAAACAACCTATTAAATGAGAGTTAAGAGGAGGTTATAAAATGAAGAATCCAAAGGAGAAGAAATGAAGAGGCATAGCCAAGTGAGTCAGCTAAGCTCACTCGCGCCCGACCGGGCGATCTTCCAGCTCGCAATCTCTCTTACTCTTGCGCCCGACCGGGCACAGCTAGCCCGAATGGGCATATTGCTACGTACCATCAAGCATTTCCTTCCTTTATTCCAACATTTTCGATTAATGTATTTTCATTTATAGTGGAATATACAAAGATTTTTAAAAATAAGCTAAGACAACAAAAAAGAATGGCATGAGTAATATTTAACAATACAAAATTGGTGTTAATTGATATTTGTGAATTGATAATCTCATTTATAAGAAATAAGTAACATGTATTTATCAGTAAACATCAAACTATAGCTCTTTTATAACCTATTATGTATATGATTTTCCTAAATATAGTGTATAAAGGTGAACATTGTTATGCGTTAAGTTTTAGTGCTTAATATACATGTTAACAAGTTCTTATCATTAGAGTATTACCGCGTTGATGATACTAATTATGGCGCATTCATAATCATAGGAAAAAAAAAAAAAAAAACCAAGTTTCTCCATAACAACAAATCGCATCCCTATCTCCCTTAAAAATAATTATTAAAGGTTTTTTGAACAATTATAAGTTGATTTTTTCAATTTCCTATAATTATTTGTGTTTTAGCTTTCATAATCAATCTTCCTCTTATTATGTGTCCTTAGATTTGGGAAAATGAGTCATAATTACACCCATCAAACCCATAAATCTAACGAAATATGTTATGCCGATATAATTAATCATAACCAACTTTGGGGATTGAATGTTTATCCTCTGAAGGATCCGGTTCCACATCTCGTACTACAGATGGCTGTAGCCATTGGCATCAATCATGGCCTCCTCATTTGTCAACGTTTTGGTCAACCTCAGATTGTATCTTATATTATGGTATGTTATTTTCATCAATTTTGTTGTTTATTATGGTACTTTTCTACGAATTGATTATTTTTTTTCTTTCTGAAAAAGAAAATAATTTGAAAATGCTATATTACATTATATTATTTAAGTTTTCTTATCTTACATAGTGTATATTAACAATGAATCAAATAAATTCCAACAATATTTTGTAGAATTTAGTCTTTCTATTACCAACAAAAAAATTATTAAAATTAAAAACAAAGTACATCTTATTCGGTCAATTAGAGAAGTTTTTTTATATGGTAATTTACCTTAAGGAAATGATGAAGGTTTAAATATTTTATTTTAAAAAAAAATTGTCTTTTATTTTGAAATTTCAAATAATGGTGTTGCATTGATTAGTAAATGAATTTTTATTATACTTCATATTTCATGTGTTTTTAAACTAATAGCACTTTTATGCATGTCTAGTGCATAATGCTAATTATAATTATAATCTTGTTCTGACAGACATCCTTAAATACTTAGTCCATCTCTTTTGAATTAAATCCATTACCAACTCACAGAATTAATACTGCCATCAAAATCATTCACCATTCTCAAGGCACTAGCCAATTTGGGGCTTCTTTATGCAACATTTATCAAAGCTCTACAAGTATATCCAACTCCTATTTCTCATTGTAGAACCAAGATGTTATACCTCTCATTCTTAGTAGTCTTCTTTCCTTTTGTGATTGGATGTGCCTTGTATATATTGTTAATCAAGGAAGGTAAAACATCTTATATTGTTGGGATCGTAAGCATATATTGGGGGACTACTATAACCGCCACAGGATTTACAAGTTTGGCTCCGATATTAACTAATTTTAAGCTATTGTGCACACGCTTGGGACAAGAAGCATTATTTGTAGGCTTATTGAATAACTTCTGCACTTGGGTTCTCATTAATATTACTACAGCTCTCTCGGCGTCTCCAAATGATCGTAATAGTATTAATGTAGTATTCACATGTTATATCTTATTCTTTATGGTACTCTACACATTGTTTTGTTGTACGGCTATCAAACCCGCCATTTTGAAGATTACGGCTAATGTACCAGAGGGTGAAAACTATAGCAATTTTGTGGTGCATATGATTTTGTTTTTGGTCTTGGCTTGTGGGCTTCTAACAGACTACCTTGGTTGTCATTTCATCTTTGGTGCATATGTACTGGGAAGAATTATTCCTCCAGGAAATCTAGCTAAAACATTGATAGAGAAGATGGAAGATTGTGTTGATGGTGTTTTGATGCCTCTCTATTTTGTGGTGTTAGGAATAGGGGTGGATATCTTCATAATCTTGGTAAATTCCAAATACGTTTTGGTTATAATATTGGCAGTTGCAACTAAAGTTTTATGCACTCTTCTAATTGGAATCTTCTGCGATGTACCACTTGTTGACGGCTTTCCGTTAGGAATTCTCCTAAGTTCTAAGGGGTTCTTTCCATTAGTCCTCCTTAATATTGGACGTCAACGAAAGGTAATTAATTTATAAGATCGATGTACCTTATATAGGATTACTCGAAAGCATAATTACTTACTATACAATAAATTTTGCATTTTTTACAGATTTTATCAGGTGACTCATATACGTTGCTCTTCGTCACAATATTTTTGTCAACAATTTTGGTGGAACCTATAATGAAAATTATTTGCAAGCGTATAAGGAAAAATCCTCAGTTGTATGATCAAAGAAGTTTACAAGGAGCAAATTTTTCAGAAAAGCTTAAGTTAATCACTTGTATCCATAGCACAAGGAATGTCCGCAGCATCATAAACCTCTGAGAGATTTCAAACATTACAGTCCAACACCCTGCATCAGTTCGTGTTACTCATCTTATTGAACTTTTAGGTCATGCCCCCGCGATGCTTGTTGAGCACGAATCTCAAAGATCTTTCTTTTGGAACCTTGGTTCCAAGCTTTTCTGTGATCGAGGTAGGGCTGAATCAGACCAAATAATCAAGCAATTCAATGAATACACGGATCAACATGATAATTCTACATCATCTTTAAAAGTTTTTACAGTTGTGTCTCCTATTAATACAATGCATGAAGATATATGTAGTCTTGCCATGGATAAGCATGCATCTCTTATAATCCTTCCCTTTCATAAACAACAAGGGGTGGATGGAAAGTTAGAAGACACTAACATAGAATTTGGAGGTGTGAACCAAAATGTGTTAGATGTGGCTCCGTGTTCTGTTGCTTTGCTCGTGGATCGTGGACTAAGAGTGAATTCCATGTCTTCCTCTTCCGAAATATATAGTGATGATGGACAAGGTTGTGAACAAATTCAAATAGCAATGATCTACATAGGTGGTTGTGATGATCGCGAAGCCTTAACATATGCTTGGAGGATGGCAGGCCATTCCTCTGTTAACCTCACGGTGATTCGATTTCTAGAAGGTGAAAAATTAACTGATTTTGATCAACCTATAGACTATATAAATTTTGGTGATAATGATATTGAGGTTGAAAACCTTACTATATCAGCACAAAAGTCAAGGGAAATCCAAGTTGATAATGAATTTCTAATGGATTTTCAAGAACAAAATAGTTATGACAGATCGATATGCTACCTTGAAAAATTTATTAATTGTCCTGGAGAAATTATTACTTCATTGAGGGAAATGGGTCATGATTTTGATTTGTATATGGTTGGAAAAGGTCAATCAAGGTTATCTTTTCCGACAATAGGTTTAGTTAAGTGGAGTGAGTTTAAAGAGTTGGGACCTATAACAGACATTTTAATAACATCTGAATTCACCTCTACTGCATCAGTGCTTGTCATGCAGCAATATTCGAATAAATTAAGTCAAAAAAATTTTGTAGTTAGGTCTACTGAAGAAGAAAAAGTGACTATTATTAGTTCTTAGAAATAACAATGATTTGGTTTGTTAGATCATATCTGAATATGTATAACTGTATTTGCTATATTCATTACCATGGGATTACTTGATTGGTGTTATAAGGGTTAAGTGAGGAGGGTAGCCCGTCGTTACCCACTTCCTCTATGCCCACAACCCTTTAAAGCCTAGGACTTTATACTTTTGAAGGTGTGTTAGGATTTAAATTTTTGACTGTTTGGGGGACCTTGAATTAGAATTGATTCTATCATTACGCTTTTTTGTAAGAAACTAATAGGGAGTCGCCAATGTGTTTTAGGAAAACACATAAACCTCTTTCATACCTTTCTCCCAAGTAGTGTTCAAGGGATAATTGACATGAATCATAAGTTTACCCATGCCCAAATTGGTCTACTAAACCAAAAATGAGTTCGGGAACGAGGGTACTACGATAACGTTCCTTTTTTAGGGGAATTGCCATCCTAGCCCTAGTGCGGCCTCTACTAGCTCTTCCTTTTTCACAATTTCATTACCAAATAATATATGCAACGCAAATCCTAAAAACTAAGTTAGTTGATTTTATTTACACGCGTCAATCACATAAAGATTACATTGCAATGAATGTCGTTATTGTTTTTATTCAAATTCGTGAAAAGAACAAGAAATAAACAATATTCGCCTTGACTTAAGTGATAAAACAACAGTTAATTATTCCAATTCTAGTATTTAATTAACGCAAGATACTATGTGAAATTAATAAATTAAAAGTTTGTTTAAAGTGATCAAACAACACTAATTAATCAATTAAAGTTATTTAAACAATAAAAGAAAAGTGATTTAACTAAGTGCTCAGGAAACTAACCATTCTTCTTTGTTGCTAGATCTCCGTTTTTAGCATTTATGGACTTTCCTCCTTCTTCGTACCTCCAAGGACTTAAAAAAGAATGGATTAGAGTTGAAGAGTAGTTGGAAAGAGAGGGAAAAAGTAGTATGATAGTAAGAGGGTTTGAGAGATTAGGGATATAAGAATTTAGGGTTTTAAGTTTCTGAATTTTCTGTTGTCATTAGGGCTGACGAAGACCCCTATTTATAGACGTAGGAATCTGGGTTTAGGATATTAGATCCGCGCTGTCAAGTGGCGTGCGCAACTCTAAGACTTACACGCAGCAGGCGCATGTGAGAGTAGCGCGCGGTGCGGTTTGCCTTATACAAAAATGCGTTTTTAGAACTTCCATAAATTTTGATTGCAAAGTCGGATTAAGGTTAATAAGATATCATAGGAAATCACTAAATGTCTACTTTCTAATGCCATTGGAATTAGGTTAAAATCTTTTATGGATCAAAAGATATGGTTGTTTGAGTGCAAGGGTGTCCGTTTTAAGGCCCGGTTTAGTATTTTGATGCTAACTAATTCGTTTTAACTCGGAATTGGGTTTATAATATACCGTTGGAAAGCTCTTTGAAAGGGCTATCCATTTTTATAGGCATTTCATGGAAATTGGATAGTTGGTTTATCTTTTTTTTCTCGGTTTTTCAACAATGTAAGATCCATTTGATCTAATCATTGCATTTGACGTATTTAGGTCCGTTATTAATCAAGATTAAGCATGTATGAACATGTTTTAGGCTTAATTAATCCTCGGACTAGGCTCTAAGATAATTTGGTCTCAAATACGGGTTTTAACTTACTTTATAATGCATTTCGGAGTCCATAAACACTTCAACTTTAATCTAGCATGAGGAACGAGTTTTTGTAACATCATCGCACTTCCTGTCGAGACAAGAGGCCAAGAGTAGGTGTCTACATGTTACTGTCAGTGTTATTAATGGTTACCCAATTAATATAATAAAGGGTTACTTTGTCAGTGTTATAAAGGTTACTCTATTATTTAACAAGCGACCATACAATGTGGTTAGCCGCAATGAAAACGTGCTGATAATTCAAAGACTATATTCTCTATCCTACCACACCCCCTCAGAAATAGAAAATATATCTCCCTTGAAATTCTATACTTTACGTTAATCATACATCTTTTGTTTTTGAAGTTATTTTTTCAATCATCAACTTTTGTGGGTGGCTGGCCATACCGTGTGGCTAGCTAACACACAAGTAACCTCAGCCAGGAAACCCTTGACCGACCTACTAACCCCTAACCAAGTAACCCCTGATCGACCCAGTAACTCCCGAACAAATAACCCCTGACCGACCGAGTAACCCCTAACTGACTGAGTAACCCCTAATTGACCGAGTGAGTAACCCTTCTGACCAAGCAACCCCGGCGATTCTTAAAAAAAATAAAAACTATGTGGCTGCCGGGCACATATAAAAGTTCGTGTTTTTCAATAGTCTCACTTTTTCTTTAATTGATGCTACTTGGAATTATTTCTAGAATAGAAAAGATATGAAACAAAAATATTTATCTAATCATTGCATTTGACGCATTTAAATCAACTATGTTGGCTCGATTTTTCAACAATGTAAGATCCATTTGATCTAATCATTGCATTTGACGCATTTAGGTCTGTTAGTAATCAAGATTAAGCATGTATGAACATATTTTAGGCCTAATTAATAATCGGACTAGGCTCTAAGATAATTTGGTCTCAAATACGGGTTTTAACTTACTTCATAATGCATTTCAGAGTCCATAAACACTTCAACTTTAATCTAGCATCAAGAACGAGTTTTTGTAACATCATCGCACTTCCTGTCGGGACAGGAGGCCCAAAAGTAGGCGTCTACAGTTAGCCCCCACTTTGATCGAGTCTAGAATAGACGATGATCAAAGTAGCCAAGGAAATGAATCCGAGACTCATTCTGCGAAGTTCCTTAGGGATAAGGAATCTTTCAGTGGTGTTGAGAATGTCGAAACTATTCTCAATTCGCTAAGTGTTCAAGACAAGTAGCTGCTAAGACCAGAAAAGGGTTATTCTAGTTTTAGTGCGCTAAAGAATCTAGATTGACCCTTTGCTAGCATAGAACGATTTTACAAGTAAAGGTTGTCCTCGGTTGTAATTCCTTGAAAATTTCCTTCTTTTTAAAATACTCATTCTACTATAAATAAAACCCTTTTTAGGAAATAACCAAAATATTACCGCCACCATGATAACGGCTAAGGCTAATTTTCAAAGTCACACAGCGGAAGTCTAAAACAAAAACCAACTTTTAAAATAAAGTTTGAGTTCACAACCTCAAAACAATTGTAACATAAAACATACACAAGTTGGAACCAATTCAAACATAGCCCTTTTTAAAAACCAATTAAAAAATAACACAATAATGTTAGTCCATCAACAAACCAATAATTCAAAAATAACAAACTAAGAAACATAACAAGTAGCTCTCTGCACTCTATCCCATCATGCTCTTCATGCTTCAAGTACCTAATACTTCCTCTTTATTCAACCCTCTACTCACCATATAAATGGGTCATAGTAGGGCCAATCCAAAAGAAAGTCAAACACAAACACAAAAGTATGAATCAGCAAAACTGAGTACATATGCACCACACTAACATGAATATCCTAGCATCAAAATAAAAATAATAATTAAAACATTCTCGCCATACAATCACAAGTCAACTTACCTTTGACTCATAACTAACGCTGTTAATTATTAATAATAATTTTGGATTACACATTGAACAAGTTTCCTTCCTTGAAAATAGCCCATTTAAATATTGAGCTTCCAATTAGGGAGCTACACTAGGCGAAAAATGGTAATCAGCACCGGTTCAAAACCCTTATTTAGCACTAGTTTTGAATCGGTCTTGATTTGAAGGATGCCAAAAACCAAGACATTTCGCACCGGTTCAAAATCGGTGGCTTTTCAGAGATTTCGCACCGGTTAACTGGTGCGTATTACACTCTTTGGCACCGGTTAACCGGTGCTAAAAGTCCTGGCGCGCTTTTTTTTTCATATAAAAGGCACCAATACACAAGTTGTAATAGCATGAAAAAACTTTTATTAAATGAATAATGAGAAAGAAATATAGCTTAGAGAAGTTTATAATTCATACCAATATAGCAAGTACAATGGATGTATTCTTTCTAACTTCCCACTTGAGCTAAATATGTAGTCTTCAAGCTAAACTTGTACTTCAATTCACATATGAATCTATAAAAAAAACAAAAAGAAAAAACAAAAGTTAGTAAGTATTAATTTGTCAATTGGAAACTATGAACTATCAAAGTATCAATATATCATGTCTGTCAAATTATAAAAAAAATTATGGCTTTGAAAATTTAGTTTCATTTTATTATTTATTTTATTTTATTTGTCTTAATTCCTTTCCTCAGTTTTGTGTGTAGGGGTTCGGGTTTCATGGCAAGTGAGTTCGGGTTTCAATTTGAGTCAAATGCTAAATGCCTAATTTCATAAGCATGCTGCCAGCTCCACCAATTGCCGCCAAGCCCAGCAGTTGCTCCACCAGGCTGTTGCAGCCACACTCGCCGAACAAAACCAGCAGCCTCTGCTTCACCATTCACCAATCAACCAATCTAACCCACACCACACGTCCACCCCTACCACACCTCACCAAACTCCCCTACTCCCTCACAACCTGCAGTTCATCCACAAAATACCACCGCAGCCCAACCACTAAAACAAGAAATACCCATAAAAAATTTGCAAGCTCACAACAAGGCAATAACTCAATGCACAGCAAGTAAAGGAAACCGGAAAGGCAAACTCACCAGACACCAGGTCCACTGTTCGAGGTCGTGCCGCCATGATAAGAAGGTCGTTGTGGTTGAGGTGGAGCCGTGCACGCTTCAATGACAAACCTTAGATTACAAGAACCCTAAAATTACTAAACTGAAAAGCAAATCAACGACAAACCCTAGATTGCGAAGGAATTCTATAGTTTAAAAAGACCACAAAAAAATCTTACCTCGAAGCTGCTTCAATGGAGGTGAGAAAGCTCAGAATCCGCTTCAATGGAGAATAAAGAGCACGAGCTTCAATGGAGGAGAGATATGGAGAGAGAAGGAGGTGCAGCTGCTTCAATGGAGGTGAGAAAGCTTAGAAA